TGTACAAATGCTGATGGATTTGCTAAGTTCTTTTAAATAATAGATACATGACTCTCATTGCCACTGCCACAGTATCTTATCACCTTCCTCCATGCAGTTTCACTCCCCATCAAAACTGAAACAATTTTCTTAATAACAGCTCTAGAGGAGGGTCACTTCCTCCTTCCAATACCCTTGAAGGATCCTCTGAATCTGTAATATGTGACAAACTCCTTATCCTGGCATCATGTGCCTCTGGGAGTTGTCCCTTGTCTTATCAACCATAGAGTGCCATCATTTTGCTCCAGGTAAAGGCCCACTCTAATACCACTGTTTCCACTATTCTCCTTTCTTTCTCAATCAGAATTTATAGTTCCTACCTCTGGACTCCAGTAGCCAACCAGATATCTATAGCATCACTTTCTAGTATGGATTTGGTGCTTATAGCTCCCTCTCATTAATAGACTGTCAATATAAAGGGCCACTTTTGTTGAATTCATGCATCTTCCACAACACCTAGCACAGCGCTTTGCTCTTGGGCTTAATTAAAAAAAGAGTTGCCAAAATGTTTACTTACTGTGTTATATCATTCTAAAATTATACATGCTCTTGGATAGATACTTTTATTCTGGATAAAACAAGCCAAAGGAACAAGGTTGAACTTTTCTAGAGATTCATAAGTGGAAAAATTTGAGGAAGGTAAGAATGTTCATCCATTGATCATATATTAATGCCCTTTGTATCTTTGATTATAAGCACTGGCCATCTTTATTTTCTTTCTTTTTTTTTTAATAGCTCATCCCCCAAACATATCTTGCCACTGCAGAAGACACTGGACTCCTGGAGAGGTAGTGGAAGCAGACACTGTTGGTTCCTTGGTCATTGCTCATTTTTCTTTTTGTTTGGGTCCTCACCCCATCCTTTACATGACTCTGGGAGCAAATCCAAGCTAATCTCAAGTAACTACTATCATTCCATTTTTCTCAGCCGGTTTACATGCTGAGGGGATTCTGAGACGGTTTTCTTGCAGATTAAAAGAAACACAGGAAAGGCAGTTTTTTCTTTGTTTGGACAACCCATAGATGTCCCATGGATCCTATGGAGTCCCGATTGCCTGTCCTGTAGATGTCAACACCATAAAATTGTCAAACCTCATAAATTTAGACTTTCCTAGTTTGGTGTTTTTGATAAGAAAAAGATTAAACTGAATTTCATCTTTGCTTTACAAGAATCTTATAAGTAACACATTAGAAGCACTTCTAAAAAGAGAGGTGAGAAGATGATGAATAAGTGGGTGGATCAATGACATCACATTTTTTTCACTCATTCATTTAACTGTGAATTGGCGAGGCTCCTTCAGCTGTGATTTTGTAATAATTCCTTAGTCATCCTTGAGGAATTGAAGAAGATCACAAACTATATCAAAATAACCTTGTTTATTTTAATGTGCTTTCTCCTGGAATGGTGGGGGAGGGCAGTGCTAAACATAATGTTTCTTAATGTTATCAAAGTATTTGATACATCTTTTAGGGCTACATTCTTTCCAATAGAATTTTTTTTTTTTTGCACAAAACATTCAGTCCTCACTAATTAACAAGAATAATCATTACTGAGATTGAATTTCTCCTCAATAAGCCAAAAGGCATGACATGTAAATTCACTTACCTTATCATGCAGGTATAGTGCAAGTTACTAGACAATGTGACAATGATTAATTCTTGGGATTAGAAGGCTGTCATGGAGGTAGAGATTCAGCTGATCAGTTTCCGATGAATCATCTGATTTGGTTCATATGTCACAGTCGTTCACTTCCTCTTCCCAGAAATGCTCTTGGTATTCATTTTGGAAAATTATAAAGCACTTGAACTCTGGAGAGTCTGCACATCGTTAGTGACAACAGATGCACAATACAGTAATCATCACATGAGTGCACTCCTGAAAAAAATATCAAGCTTAGAGAGGGAGAGCGTCACGGTGATGGGGTTCATTCCTCAGATATCCTTCCTGTTGAGCAGCCAGTTAGTCTTCAAAAATCTGGGCTTCACCAACTGGCATTGGCTGGTCAGTTGCAATTTCTCCAATCCTGCTTCCCTGACGCAAGCAAACAGACACTACTTTTGTTCCACTTCACCCCCACGCCCTAAGAAGTCATAAATGCCTTCTTGATGGGCTGGCTCCTGGAACTGTGCGGCCCCCACAGCTGGTGTCCTTTCTGGCAAGCCGCCTTCTGGTACATTGCTGGGGTGAGCAAGAGGATGTGTGGGTACAGAGCACTGACACAGGGCTGTGATTATGATTGTGCTTTTGGTCATCATCTGCTCCTAATTGCATATTAGGAACACAGATTGTATTGGGGATGCTGAGGATGGAGGGGAGGGCTTGTTATTTTCTCTTCAGGGGACAGTTATCAGAGTTTACCACCTCCTGACTTCTGTTGTTTTCTCCTGGGAACTGGAGGAAGAAAGGACACCGGCTAGAGTCTTCTGTGCTGTGAAATCGGAAGTGACTCCTTTCTGCCTTAGCTGCACCGTCGCCCTTTCACTCTGTCTTTCTTCTACAGACTTTAGCTCAAATTAGCCGATCAATATTGGAAGATCAGTGCTTACCTCAGGGCAGTTTATTCAGATGCTGACTATGAAATGCAGATTTGTTTCAAAAGGAAGGAAAGATGATGGATTATGGATAGAGAAGAAGACTCAAGCAGGAGAGTGATTTAAGAGAAATTTCACAAAGAGTATTTAATGAAGCCTGATCCCACAGGGGAACTCTGGAGCAAGAATCACATCTCTCAGTTTATCTGAAATTGAGGCAGAGGGTCTGGGCTTTCGGTCTCCTTTGTCAGTCATTGGTTAAGGACTGCGCAGAGAGAAATAAACCCTAAGATGCTTCTGGTCTTCAGGTTTTCAGGTAAAGAGGGCACTGACTTTCTTTTGAGAGAGTCTCAAGTATGAACCTAGAAGGGAAATCACACAGAAGCAAGGGCAAGGGCAACCAAAATGGTAACTTGCATCAGAGGAGAGCTAAGCACAGCAGTGTGCACTACACTCCTGGGCAGATGCTGTGTCCTCTGGACAAAGGTTGTTCTGCAACTATCAATGCTTGTCTCAGAAACTTTCATTTTCACCAAGGTCTATGCAGCAATTCATGCAGAGTGCCATGTACCGTCTATGCTGGAAAATGGGTCTGATGGAAATATTTTAAGAAATCTTGAAAACATTAGAAGTATTGCCTTTTGATTTTGCTTCTTTCCCTGCAGCTCTGATCCACCAAAGTCAGTCTTTTCCACATGCTTTAGCTTTAACAGTTCTTTGAATACATCAACACCCCACCTCTGCCCGCCTCTCCTGCTGCAAGATACTTTGAGGTGGTAGCACTGTGCCTTGAACCCCTGTTATATAACAGGGGCCCCAAGTCTGCCCCATATTACTCATTTTTGCATACATCTCAATTTCCAAATAGACTGCAAGATCCTTGAAGGCAGGGATTTTGCCTCCCACATCTTCCCGCCTTCCAGCCCTTCCTCCAACATTCAGCAAACTGTCTTACAACCCACCATAGGGGGTTAATGAACACTTAACCATTGGATGAGTTTGTCAAAGCTGCTTATGATAATTATTGACCAGGTGCCAACCCAAAATATGTTTCACTGACAATAGACTCTGAAAGAGATGTACCCCTTCTTGTTGAATTTTGGTGACTTTCATGTTACTAAATTTTATTAAATGACCAGCCCATTTGAAGGTAGACAGGGATATAGATATAGACACAGAAACGGATATAGATATAAATGTGTATATGTGTGTTCACACACATATACATTCACCAGGCAGGCAGGAGGTGGTGCCGAGGGAAGAACACTGGAACAAAAGTCTAATGTTCTTATCAGGACTGCTCCTGCCTCCATGAGGCCATCAGCAGGCATCTCATACCTTTGTGCTCCAGCTGAAGGAGCTACACCAGATGGTCTTTAAAGTCCCTTCAACTCCAAAAGCTCTATCAGCTGTGTTCTCATTCTTTATGGAGGGCTGGAATCCAAGAAGCCACACAGAAGCACTGCTCCCACCCACCCTTGATTCCTCACTGTGCTCAGTCAACGTGAATCCCACTCATGTTATCTATCCCACATGTCCAACCTTGAAGTTGACTTAGGCTCCACCCAGGGAGAGAAAATATGCGGAAAGATTACTTTTTGTTTAAAAGTCCTTCAATATTTACTTTTTAACATAGGTGGATTTTTACAACTTCTTAGTCAATCAAGGGGAAAACTGTGAAGGCCATTTGGCTTTCAAGCAGACCCTACCTCAAATGCCTCACTACGGGTTGCTTTTCTTCCATGTACATTCTGGGCATTCAACTTGCCTTCCTTTTCAGGGAGAAGAACATTGAACTCTGATCCAGCATTCTTGGTTTCCAGTTTCAGTTCAGTTTCAAACTGTGTGACCTTAGAGGAGAAGGCTGATCTGCAAAGCTGTTACTGCCTCTGCCCAAAGAGAATGGTGCACCTGTGGCACTTGCCTCAGATCGTTTTTATGAGGACATAAATGCATTTGTCAAAAAAGTACATTAACTATATAATATAAGGTGATGGTTTATTAACTAATCAATAATAATACCATTCACCCGTTTGAAGTTGTTGCTTCTCTCTCAAAGGGAAAAATATGGATTTATTTACCTTTTTTGTAATTTGTTTTGCAAATGTTTTTTATCCTTCTAATACACAAGTTTATTTTCTGCATTTTGAAAAAAAAAATCAGTCTACCTGTTCATCAAGCAGGTGAACGGCAGTACAGAATTTACTTTTTTATTTCTTTGGGCGTTCTGAAAAAACATGGAGATACATTTCTGTGTAATGAGGAAGGGTTAGGATCAGCTTATTTAATAAAGATTAGTGAAAGCCTATCCAAAATGTTTTCCCTCCAGGGCACAAAAATCTCCTTCAAGTAGCTAAATTAAAAGACTCATCAAATGCCCACAGAGTAACTGAACATAATTTTTAAATCAACCCTTACTCTAAATGTCAGGAAAAGAAAGAAGACTTGAGGAAGATTTGGCATTTCTGACACTTGGAAAATCAAGTCCACAAATAAACAGCTGCTGTCAAAGAAGGTAAGTGAGATGTTTACAAGGTAACTCCACCTGCTTCTGCTCTCCGTTTGCCCACTCACTCTTTCAACATTCACTGAACACCTAACTGTGCAGAATGCTGTACGAGGTGCTGAGCAGGAACCCGGGCTCTTGCTGCATGTTCATATCATTTGTGGACTGAGATATTAGTGATGTCCAGAGCAGTGAAACATATTGAAACAAGACAACACTTGCAAAGACAATCTTTAATATTAAGCAACACTTCCTATTTGCCCATCCACTAACCCTTAAGACATTCTTCTCATTGCCCCCATGAGCACAGCTTTGCCTATAATAGTGCATAAAGGGCATCTTTGTTCTCCTCCGAGTGAACTCAGCACAAGCCCAGGGAACAGTGAAACACCCGGGTGGAAATGAGGTGTCTCTGTGACAGCAGACTCATTCTTTGGCCCCCATTTACCCAGATCAACATGACTGAGTCAGCAGTGGATGAAACCGATGATTGTTTTATTCTGCGTTCCCCAGTCACTCCCTGAGTCAGTGGGTAAACTGGGACTAGAACCCAGCCTTGTCCTACCCCGGCTGAGCAGTTCTACTATATTTATCCAGGGTCTCATGATTCTTAGTGCTTTTGCTCTGCCCTCTAATTTGCACTGTGCCTGCTATAATATCAGAACGGGAAGTTGCTAGCTAAAATGGTCATTATCCGGGAAATCTATTTAAACATGTTTATAAGGTCAGATAAAGTGGGTGGTAGATAAGCTAGACAGAAAACAACAAAAGCTTTGGCTTAGCCTAGCCAGTGAGCAAAAGCTAAAGACTGAAGTGTTTCAGTGTTGAACTAGCACATGGTAGGAAAGGACAGCCTAACCAAAATCATGTCAAAATGCAGAGGTGAACAGGCAAAACATTAAACAAACAATTTCTATTTCAGAAGCTGGACAATGGACTTGACTCATTCTAGCCTAATGGATTAGCAGCCTGTCCCTAAAGCCCCCTATCCAGAGTGTAAAAATGCTCTTTATACACATCATACATTCTAATAAGAGGAAGAAGTTGGGATCATCAAGAAGAGAGCCCAGCATGGACCAAAAATGACCTTTGATGGAATTAACAGTATAATAGCATTATCAAACCAGAGAGAAATAAGGAAATTCAGAGAAAACACAACATCTCTCAGAGCCCAAGCTGGGATTCTCAAATGTTCAAGACTGAAGAGCAGCACTCAGTTCCCAAAACCCACAGCTCAGAGTTTTGAGTCAACTGCCTCCTTACCTGATTCCCAGGGGTTATTAAACATCAAAGAGGAGGGAGGAAGAAGAGGGGAGAGAAACTATTCCCTCATTCCTGTTTTATAAGAAGCAGGGCTATGAGTTGTAGTGGCTTCAGGTGGCAGACAGGAGCAGAGCCTCTGAGAAGGCCTCCTGTGTCCCCTGTTTGAGCTCTGATGCATAAAGATTGAGCCTGAACTAGATTCTTTGCTACTAAAAGAAATCCAGGATGGTTACTGTAAGAAAATCTGACACACATGGGCAGGGAGTAATTAAATCAGAAAAATTCGCATTTTTTTATTATGAATGAAATAAATGTAATGACTTGCTTTGCTTACACAATCCACTTAGAAATCGTCTTTCCTTCTGGAGCCTGATTTCATATGGTTTGGGCTATGACTGCATAGCATGAGCCCTTCTATCCCTTCCAGTTGACCACAAAATTAAACTCTTTTTTTCTCCCTTTCTTTTTGGTCCTGACTCTTCTCATTTCTAATGAGAAAGTCATTGCTATATGCAAAGAAAGGAGAGAGAAAGGGCAGAGTATTAAAACATGAGTTGCAAGACTGGAGAAAGTAGAAAGAAAGGGAGAGATCAGAGAGGGGCTTGGGAATGAGAGTTGAAAGCAGCTTTGATATATTAAAGCAAAGGGTCTTCCTAGAACTGTGCTGATTAGTACAGCCACTAGCCACACATGGCATTGGACACTTGGAATGTGGCTAGCCTGAACCACAATCAGCTGTAAGTACAAATTACCCAGCAGATATTGAAGATTTTGTACTGGAAAAAAAAATTGCAAAGTTAACTCCTTAATACTTTTATTTGATTACATGTTGACACAATACTATTTTGGCCTCATAGGGTTAAATAAACTGTTATTCAAATTCATTCCACCTGTATCTTTTTACTTTTTACAGGAAAAATTAAACTCCCCCGTGGGGCTCATGTTCTTTTTCTGTTTCTATGCACAGCACTCCTCTCCGTCACCCCGAGAAATAGTGGGATTGCCTTCTGTTCCCACCACTGTGTTGGCCACTCACCACCAACCTCCCAGCCCCAGGGTCAAGGCCTGCTGTCATGGTCCACCTTGCCTCAGCCGAGGTTTCTGCATGGAGGCAGCCTCTGGTCCGGGGACCCAGGGGTCATGAAGGGACCATGAGGAAGGGCAGTGCCCTATCCCTGCCTTGGGATTTCTGACTGAGAGGGCGCCCAGGTTCCTCAGCCAGTCTTCACTCCTGTCCCTCTCCACAGCCGCCCCGGGGGCTCCTAGAACCATGGGCGTCTTCTCTTCCCCGCGTTGCAGCCTTCTCCTCTCCAGCCACCTTGTCAAGAATCGGCCTTTTCATTCTGTTTTAATAGTAAGTACATTCAGCATAATTCTGGGTACACTAAAAAATCTCTTTCGACTCAGAGAACAAGCTGGGGCTTGGTCTGGAGTGTGTTCAGGGAACTATGAGCCTTTGGTGATTTGGGAGCAAATATCAGAATGGAATCTGATTCTAGATGGAAGTTTCTAGCTGTAGAGAAAATGAAGAGAGAGGGGACTGAGTGAGTGGAGCAGGTACAACCCAAAGACTTTGGAAGGAGGCAAGCAAATCCCAATGAATTACTAAGAATCATTCAGTGTGTCCCAGCTGTGTGAAGTCAGTGTGTGCCACAGAGTTGGGGACTCCTGGGGGGGTGCTTACCTATTTTCAGAGCCATAGTAGATCCCAGATATCTGGGATGCGAACGTGCACCACGTGGAAAAGGTTGCTGTGGTTTTAGACGGATGGCTGCCTGCTGGGTTGTCCAGGTGCCCTTCTCAGGCCACTGACCTGGAAACTACATTTTTGTAAGAATCCAAAGAACAGCATTGTGTTTTCTCACTTAAAATGTGTTCCCTGATGCCCAGAAGCAAATCAGAAATGCAGCTGAGTCTGTCTACCCATTCATTATCTCTTTCTTACCAAACTCAAACTCATTCCAGGAAGCAATGTGCCCAGCTGAAAGACGGCATTTCTCAGCCTCTTTTGCAGGTAGGTGTGGCTTGTGAGATATCAGTGACATTTTTTCAAATGACACTTCAAGGAAAAATTCTCAAAGAAGGACAGATAGCTATTACATGCCTTTTTCGGTCTTTCCCCCTTCTTTCTTCTTCTTCCTACATTGTGTTTAAAACCCAGAAGTCACAGCTGGAGTGCCAGCCGCCATCTTGGCCCATGGGGGTAATCTAGCAGGTGGAAGGCAGCCCCAAGAGGATCAAGAAGAAGGGCAGAAGGAGCCGTGAAGACTGAGGATCTTATGTGTATCCACAATAGCCCCCGATCACCTACCTCCTACTTCTTTTCCAAAAGAGAAGAATAAACCCCTATCTTAAGCCCTAAGCCACTGTCATTTGTGGGTTTTGTTTTAAGCTATACAGCCTAATTCTAAATGATTTACATAAACCGAATCCTAGGCCCATTTCTCCAGAAATCAATTAACGTCATCAACATTGATCAGTTGAATAAATTTTCTAAATTATTGGTTTGTGGCTGGGCGTGGTGGTGCACACCTTTAATCCTAGGGACTTAGGAAACTGAGGCAGGAGGAGTGTGAGTTCAAAGCCGTCTTAAGTTATCAGTTTGCTTAAAATTTTCTTATCCTAATCACTTATGGAGCTGAGACCAGTTCATGTTTTGCTGGAATCCTTTTAAAGTTAACTATATTTTGTGATGTAGTTATTTCTTTCTTTTTTTTTGTATTGAATGAATTTCAAGAGATTTTGTTAATAATAAAGTCATTTTCTACTTTCAAAAAAAGGTGTGCTTGATTTTGTCCACAATGTTTACTAAATCCAAGAAAAATAAAAGTTTGGCATCAGAGGTGGGGAAATCGGAACAGGGAGTAGTTTACCCACATTTCCTTCATGTACCAATACCCAGCACCTCTTTGTGTGCTGACGAGAGATAGATCCACACGCACACACAAGCATCTGCCCCTGTGACATCACACTCGAACTCAGGCAGACTCGATTCCCCCATCTGACACTTCATCCATGACAAAAGGCACTTAAGGGAAAGTCATCCCATTCACATATGAAATACTGAGCTTTGGACGGTGCTCAGAAGTGACCAAATCATGAAATACTCGTAATACTGACACTCAGAAGATGGGCCCTGACAAAGGGGCACACTAAAGAGAAAGAGAAAGATCCTGTTGAAAGTGACAGCTGCATTAAATTTAGTACACCGTTTATTTTTTCTTTAGGAATAGCTTTTTCTAGATATTTCCTTTCTGCTATTTTGAAGGTTCTGTACTGTACTGTGAACTCTCTAGTTTCTTCCTGCAAACGGCAGATTCAGTTGTTCTTTTGTTTTTCCCAGGTTTGTAAAATGGAGAATGACATCCTCCTAGGATTGTGAGGACTAGGACAGTGCTGTCCCAGGCACATACTACGGGGATGCTCAGTAACCGTTGGCTCTGTGTCACAAATGCTCATGAGGATGGCTGGAGACAGGTGAATACATGCTGCTGAACTCATCCAGCTTCTGATTCAGTTCCATTCCCTCCAGAAGCTCCGAGAAACCCAACTCTGCTCTGGATAGGCCCTGCTACTCGATGTGCATGCTCAAGGCAAATGACTCCATCCTCAGGATCAGGCTCTTGCCAACTTACAGCCTCAACTCTTCCATGGCTTCTGCCAAGCCTCCTACCCAAGCCTCCCTCCGGCTTCCCACAAGCTCTCAGCACACACTGCGCCAACCCCTCTCCTGGCACACGCCACATGGCTTTGTGATTACCCTGTAGGTGTAGCCTCCTCCTTTACTCAGCGTATCATAATTGTCTCCCGATAGTCTTGAGAGATGCATCCCAAGGCTGTCACAAATCCCTAGGTGTTTTAGTACCTTTTTCTCTTTTTACTTCTATTTCCAGGTTCAGTGTTGATCCCCAGTTTTATTCAGTCTGCTTAGGTTCAATCTGCAACTCTGTCACTCACAAACTGTGAGAGTTTGTGCTGTAGTTTGGAGATGGTTTGTTCCACAAAAGAAAGGTGCCTATGCTGGAAACTTGGTCCCCAGGGGGGTGGTGTTGACATGGTAGACCTTTTAAGAGGAGGTCCCCACCCTCACGAATGGATGAATGCTGTCTCATGGAAGTAGCTCAGGTCTGGTAGGAGTGGGTTAGTTCCTAATGGAGCAGGTTGTTATAAAAACAGTGAGCCTGCTACCTCTCTTTTGCTTTCTGTCTCACCATGTGTTCTCGTTCTCCCTTCTGCACATGGCTGGTTCCCTTTCCACTTCTCTGCCATGTGAATGCGGCCAGGGGTACCGTCATTAGGATACTAGAATGATGATGTTTGAACTCTTCCACTACTACAATTGTTAGCTGAATAAACCTGTTTACTTTATAAGTTACCCAATCTCTGGTAGTTTGTTATACCAATGAAAAACAGATTAAAACGCAACAGGCAAGTCTTTAAATTTCTTTGACTCAGACTTCTTATCTATGCATGGGAATTACAACAGTGCCTAGCTCAAAGGATTACTAAGCAGAGTTAATGCATAGAAAGCCATTAGAACCATGCCCAAAACAGAGGAATGGCTGTACATTTAGACATATCCAACAATTATCTGTTGAGTGCTAACTTCATGGCAGGCATTCTGACATGCAGAAGGGACACAGCAGGGAGGGAAAACACTGCTCTTCTTGAGCATGCATTACTCTGGCAGATGTTCACAGCTGTCCTTCAGAGATTCTGACTTCAAAAATGTGGTTGAAACTAGGAATTTGCATTTTTTAACAAAAACCCCAAGTGATTTGATGCAGGTGGCCAATGAAAAAAAACCTTAAGAAACACTGCAAAATAATTCATTCCTGCATATGTAGGATTTAAATTCCTGCTTCAGTTCAACCACAAATTATCATACACTGAGAATTTGAGAAGAACTGAAACTAGGAAAGTTGAGTAATGGGAGTGTCAAGGGACCCAGGACAGAGTCTGCTTGTTGTGCGTCTTTCATGTGATGGTAAGTCCTGTACAGCCAGAGGAGGAGACTCAGAAGAGGCTTGGGGAAACAAGTCTACTATCCTCACAGGTCCTAGAGACAGCAGGCCACGCAGGGCCATGTGCAAAGACAAGAGGATTGTCAGAAGGCAGAGGACAGGAGCCTTCACTGGGGCTTCCCAAGGAAGACGGGTAAGGCAGGGTGAACAATTTTGGCTTGGCTAATTTGAAAAATTCCAGCAGGCTGTGAGGCATAGGGGTGGTCCCTCATTGTCTGGCGCGTGGCTCTGGGATGATTAAAGCAAGTGGATATTGCTTCCTGGTTGCTGGAGCCAGAGAGAAGACCTGGCTCTGGATCGAGTAGTTCACATCTCAGAGGCATGCTCCCTGCCCTGGAGCCCTGTGTTGTCTCTAAGAATCCACTAATCTGGAGGCCAGCAGTCTCTCCCCAGACAAAAGAAATTTTAAGATGTCAAAACATCATAACATACAGAGACTATCATATGAGTGCATGCACACACGTGCACATACAATTCCAGGTGCACAGAGAGTGCTTGGCGGACGTTTGCTGTGCATGACTGGTTTGTGTGTGAAGGACAGAGGAGCAGGTAGGGAGGGAGGCTCTCCAAGTATTACCCATCCCCTTGTTGCTCTCAGGGAACTGTGTTCTTCCTCATCTTACATTATAAATAACTACTTTCAAGTTTATTACTAACATTGTTGACTGTCCCCTCAAAAGGCAAATTGGCTGGAAGTATAAATAAATTTAAGCAAGCAAGTTTCAGGTATGTTCAGGGTGAGACATCCACAAGAGGTATGAGGACATTGCTCCTTCCTTTCCATTGGGGGTGACAGTAGGGCCGACCTGCTGGGCACCTGCTCCACCTTCTCACCAACCTTAACTTGGTGGGGAAGTGCAGTGTGACCAGCAGAAAATCCAACACATTTTCCAGTACCCCCTGCAGACAGAGTGTGGCCCAGAAGGAGTGAAAATAATTTTCTTGGTGGCCCTAAAAGGAGGAAAGAACTAGGGGACCTGTACCATTTACCCCTAGTATTTATAAGCCACAGTTTGGGAGGTTACTTGTAACTGAAACAGTTCCTGATACAGAGAGATTCTCCACATTTTTCCATACACACCTTCGGTGCCATGACTAGCTCTAAAATACAGACCTATTTCCTTAGGGATTTGCAGGACCAAATAAGAATTTGAAACTGCATGTTAGAGAAAAAGCAAAATAAATTGTCTTTGTGATTTTCCTTCAGTCAGTAGAGATTCATAAACCACAGCCCTATAAATTGACCTAAGGTGGAGTCCTTGCTAATGTAAAATATTTGGTAGACAGAGATTTTCTCCTCCTGAGCAGACTAGATCATTCTTACTAGTATGTTCAAAACAATTTCAAGGTAATTCTGAAAACAATGTCATGCAATTTAGAGAAGCAGTGAATTCCTCGCCCCAGACACTGAAGAAGATTTGACTCTAGGTCTGACTAGAAAAATAAAGGAACAGAAATTTTACTTCACATTTAGTATCTCAGTCATGGAAATAAGTAGATTTTACACTAAATTTTGTGCATGTAAAAATTCAACCACTGGTTCTTTGTATAAACTATGTCTTCAAAGCCCTAACACCATTTTTCCTCTCCTAATTGCTATTATGAGGCCATAAATCATTTATATGGAAATAATGCAGATATAACTACATGGCGTATGTAAGCCATGTGTTTTAGCAAATCCATAAAAATGCTTCATTTATGCTTTGATGAAAGGCACAACAATCTTCCAAGAACATTAATTATTAATTTGGGAAATGTAGGCTTACTATGTACTTAGCTCAATACTTGAACAATGTTTGGTAAACAACTCTCAAAGAAACATTCATTCACTCAGCAACTATTTAGTGAGCAGCTACAATGCTGAAATTTAAGTATCATGCCTTCCTTGGCTACAGTGGCATTTGCACATAATAATGTGAATGGTTTTAAAATGATATAAAAGTAAATGTGTTTTACCTTCAAGTTTCCTAAGATGAAATACTCAAGAAAAACTATTTTAAGGTCAAGAAGGTAATGAAAGAGAACCATCCAATCTTTTCTCATCTGCAAATGTCCCTGAGATTTTGGTTAAGATTTGTTACATTAAAAAATAACAAACTCCACTAGTATGGCAATATGTAAATCAATGGATGTGTAACTGATGTGATTCTGCAATCTGTGTATGGGGTGAAGGTGGGAGTTCATAACCCACTTGAATCAAAGTGTGGAATATGATATGTCAAGAAATTTGTAATGTTTTGAACAACCAACAATAAAAAATTAAAAAAAAAATAACAAACTCACTGAAACTAGCTTAAGCACATGTGTGCATCTCAGGACAGAAAGTGTATCTGGGCCTCATATTAGACCAGATGCTATAAAGCTAAATCCAGTATTTCTCCATCTTTCTGAGGCCATGTGGCTTCTTGTTTCTGTGTTTGTCTTCTGATCGACATCATTCTCTTTTGTTCCTTTCTGAACACCAGCCTGTTCTGCTTTATCTTGCATATGATGGCCAAAGGTCTAATTTGCATCTTGGTCTGGCTCAAAATTTCAGCAGGATATGGCCAGCATCTGAGAATTCTGGAAAAAGATTTGATTGGTTCATTCTGGGTTGGGTACCCACCAGTGATCCAATCCGCTTTGACAATGAGGGAGAGAGAGTTACAGAGTCGAGATATGCCAGAAGAGCCTGCTCCTATGGTTGGGGAGAAGACATTCTCAGAGATGGAAACCAAGGATCGGGCAGACAACGCTAAGATTTTTCTTCATTTGTACCAAACAGAAAGCACTTTAACATGTGAGCTTTTCAAATATGACATTTTCAAATGTGATTCTAAAGATAATATTCCAGTCCTGAACCTACTCAGTTTTTCAGAAACAAACCAGAATAAATGCATTTATCTGTAAAGCTGGAGGCAAAGTTGCAATTCATTCTGAGACCTGATTGATCCTCTAAGGCAAAATGGTCTTGGTGATGATCATGGCAGAGCACCTGATTTTTCTTTTTAGGGATGTAATAAGAGGAGTGCATTCCTCTGCAGTCACGATCAATTTAATACATATACTCTACTTTGGAGTTTATCTATTTCCACAGATTTCCAGCCTGATTTCCCTCCTAAGACACATCACCCCACACAGTTATGGTGCCTTTGACACATTTAGATAACAATATTGGCTTGGAAATCTGTCATTGCTACCATAACTCATACAATCCTTGATTAGAATCAAAACCAACAACATCTGAATTGCCTCATCTTCCCATATTCAAATCAACAATTTGCATCTGTTTCCAGTTTTCTAGTAGCATTTTCTG